ACAAGACGAAAAGCAGAAACGAACAAAAGGAATAAGTCAAAGTGGTGTTCAAAGTCAGAAATGAATGATCACGAGCTATAATAATAACAGATTGCGTTCACACACACATGGATATACAGTAGACAGACCATATACAGATACAGGTGTTGAACAAAAGAACATCGGAGTCCAATACCACATTATATTTACTATGCTCGTGTATATCAATATCAAGATCAATACTGTATGTGTTAACATACTTTATAATCGTGATAGTAAAAAAAAACTATGTAACGAAAAAAAAACTGCAATGACTTCTACCTCGTTTGATACTGTCAGGGTTCAGTAAAGTGGTTATTTCAGAGATGGTAGTTTTCCTTTAGTTATGCATATTGTCCTTGTATAAACCGCTGCCAGTGTGCCTTTAGACAAAGGGATTAATGTTTTAAGGGAGAGCTAATTGGATGATTTAAGCAAGGCCTTATGCAAGGCCTTGCTTAAACACAGAGGCCATTCAAAGTGCTGTGCATGAGAATAAATGTTTTAGAAGAATGAAAATGGGATCTAAGGCACGTGTGTTATAAAATTAAGTACAATCAAATAGACATAGACAAATACAGAATATTTACAGTGAAGAACAGTGTAATAAGTTTCATCAGCTTCTGTTTATATTTTCTGCAAAAAGTGATGTTGAAATCAACCAGAAATGAATTGTCAATATCTACTTTCTGTAAGACCAAAGAATCATGGGGGGAGTCAAAGTTATTTGAAAACAGCAAAGCAGCCGCACACATTTTGCTTATTTCACTAAATGAAATAAATGAAAAATCTATAGAGTAAAGTGCACAACCTGTTGGGATAGGCATTTTTTGCAGTGCAGCAGCCAGAGCCACACCACATACTGTATACAGAGGCATTTTATTACTTCGTCTAAACTTAATTATCTACCTTTTACACTTCATGTGCAACACATGAGTCCCCAGACTTTGTCGGGAACAGACCACAGACTGACTCACAAACCTGTACTTAATGAACGTTTGCCCAGAGGAAACATCTGACAAGGTACAGTGACGTACACAGGGACGACCAGGGAGCTGTGATACAGGTAGGTGTAGGCTGCTGTCATCACTGTGCTGAGGTACGTTTCTCTTCCAACTGTGTGTATTTTGTCAATCCTTGTCCTTAAAGCTCATATTAAAGTGAAATAAGATCAAGCATTGCTGAAGGTCAGCAGGTCCACTGTGCAGGTCAGGCAGTCTGCTGGGGAGCCTGGGCTCAGCTGTGACATGTTCTACTGTTTATGATGTACATTCTATAATTATACATACAGTACATACATTTTATAAGACTTCAAAGATAATCTCCATGTACTTCGAGATGCATAACCTGCTGTGTATTTGATGAGTTCAGTGTAATCAGTCAATCAGGACAAGACAAATATTTAACCTCACCTGACACCTACATTAATATCCCCAATATTGTTTAACTAGGCCATATTTATCTGTCATATGGTACAGGACATCATGTCCGTGAAAAACAAGCTCCGTCTTGTGTACTTTCCCCACATGATGAAAGATGTGGCAGGTGATGGCAGACCTGCAGCAGTTAAAGGAGGGTTAGTCTTTTACAGTCCTTTTCGTTCGCTCATAACTGAACTGAAATTTGACTTAAAAGTCAGGTGAAATTAATATGAAATGAAGCAGCATTAAGCGAGATGATCTGGTTTTTCACTTTTATTAATTAATGTAAAACTGAAAATGTAAGAGAATACGACATGAAATAAATAAATAAGTGGACCTCATTGATGTTGTTAAGGGTTACTGAAAAGATTTTGAAATGCACCTCCCCCGCAGGTGCAGCAGTGTCAGCTATGATAAAAATTAATGTTTTATATACCTCTGACACAAACACTCCCACAATTTTGCAGCATCTACAAGACTCAATTTGACACCATTGTCCCCCTCTCTAATGGTTATTGGGTAATGGTTATGAAAACTTTTAGCAAATCAACAGATAACATTTCCTAATATTTGATCTGTCACTCACTATCATTTTTCCAAACTCCCAGTCTTTCTGGAACTGGAGCCTTTTTTGTAAACTACAAAAGCTCTGAATCTCAGTTACAAAATCTAACACATTGTTTGTGTTTATCCTCTGTGGTAAATTTAAAACTCACTCTGGGAGGCTGACTTGAGGCCTGAGGAGCTGTGGGAGGACAGAGAGTATACCCTCCTCATCATCAGTGGCTGCTCATGTGGTCAGACTCAGTATAAGACTCATCATGTCTACTGGATGAAAGCACTGAAGATGGTTAATAATACTGAGTCTACCGGCATTTTCTAGAGAACTAAATAATCCAGTTACTGTTGGCTGAATTGAAATTAGCTGTTCAGTTTCAAGTGCATGCTGCTTCGCTGCCATACTACCATCGTCTCACTGGGGACAGAGCTGTGGTCGGTGTTGTTAGTAACACCTGCTGCTGACAAGTCAAAATGTCTGCTGTGAAAAAGCCCTGTTTGTGCTGTCCTGCACACATTTTGAGCCTGCCCCTCCCTATATCCAAAATCTAATTGAAATAGCAGGTAAGTACCAAGAGGATCACTGTAGTGTTTTACAAAGTCTTTACATTCTCAGTTTGTTCCAGAGTGATGTGTTTACAAGTAGTTCGAGCATGCACACATCTGTCTGCTCTGGATTACACTGCTGTTCTTATTCTGGTTCTGTTCAGTACTGAATATTATGCAATTGATTTTGAACTGATATGAATAATTCAAAAAACAGTTTTACTCACTAGTCCTATATTTTACAGGCCCATAATTTCCATATAAATTACACAGTCTTTTCTGAAAAAAAAAAAAAAATTAGGTTGGCGCTAATTACAGGGAAAATCATGATTGTGTTCAACTGATACTTTTCCAATTAATTCATTCCAGTTAATTGCTGGCAAAAGACAGTCTTCTAGTTAATGTACAAGAGGTCAGTTGAACATAAATGTGAAATTTGTCTACAGGCAATTAATTTAATGATTTGATGACTAGTTACTTGGGTTTAAATTGACTCCAGGAAAATCATATTTTCCTATAATTTGTTTTCCCAGGAAACGTCCTTAAAATTATTATACACTGAAATAAACTCAACTCAACTCAACTTTATTTATCACATCTTAAAGCATCACATCTTAAATGAAACGATTCAAGTTTAGGAAAAAAATAAAAAAAGGGGGGGGGGGAGAGAGAGAGAGAGAGAGAGAGAGAGAGAGAGAGATAAGAAATAAAACCACGTCAATGACACACTTATCTTTAGGACCAGTGTGAGATCAACTTTTCATTGATTGCCTGAGCAGGATATACGCCTGACCCTGACTGGGCTGAGTGACGTCACTCACACCTGGTCCTGCGGGAAACGGGGCGTTTCACCTGACCCTTACTGAACAGGCTCTGGAAACGTGAGCTTTCACAACGTGCAATTAAGATGCATTTATACTGCGCACGAACTGCAATCTGATGGGTTCTTTAATATTCATTTGTCCTGCGATGAACTGTCAACTGAGGCTTTTAACTGGACGTGAGTGAATATTCAAAGCGCCCACCTGTACTCAACAGTTAAACAGAGCTCATATCGGCCTGATAATCGAGTTGATAAAACAGCAGCCATCCAGCCGCTGCAATGACTGACTGGTTTAGGATAAACATCATTTTGTCTTTGCGCATGTTGATAACGCAGACAAAGCGCATGGATACAGTGACACCTGTCGTTTTCTGCAAGAGTCTCCCAGCACCACGAGAACGACTCCGTGGGAATAATATGTCAATTTAGAGAATGAGGAGGTCAGTGTGGTCAGGGTTTCCTCGTCAAAGTACTTTTGTTTTTAGATGTGCTTTCGCTTTGGCAACAAGGACGAGAAAGAACAGGCAGAGAAAGTGACTCACATTCGACACAGAGTTCAGTGAAACTAGACAAGATGAGAGGCTCAATGCATTTGTCTGAAAGAGGTGATTTTTAAATGGCAGCCATTAAACTCACCGCACTGTGTGGCGGACCAAACTCAGTAACAGAGAAATACAGGAAGCTCCCAGCTTCAATAATATTGAGCCTTCACCAGCAGGGGGCGGTGTTGTATTAGAGCAAAGGCCCATAAAAATAGCTGAGACGGGACACTGAGCAACAGGAGTACAGGGCAGGGCATGAATTGCAACTGCAGGTAGAAGAAACAACTACACAAAACTAATCAGCTATGGTACAGGATAAAATTATAAACAGGTACACTGCAACACAACAAAAATGAATATAACAAAACTGTGTGAACATGAACAATAGAATTGGAAGAAATGCAGTGTCTGCCCGCTGGGGCATGCTGGGAAGTTATCACTAAGATTTAAAAAAACACATCAAGTCTGGAGGAAAATTCAGTGAGTGCTTGCGGAGAGCTCCTTCCTTCTCTGTCTGAGCTTAGCATGAGATGCATGAATTAGGCTGGGATGAGAACAGAGTTGAGTTCATAGAGAAATCAGAGATTTCTCTGCCTGAGATCAAAAAGAGGCACAAACGTTAAGAAAATCTGATAATTATTTTAGAGCCTGATGAGATCTCCTTTGAAACTGAAAAAGAGGCTAATTTGAGATTTTGTGCATGTTTTTGTTTTGGAGGTAAAAAATGAGAGTCAGGAGCAATACACCATCATCTCATTTAGGTTTCACACAGACCTCGTGGTTTTCTAGGAGAAATAAATGATCGATTTCTTTTTTAGATCAATTTCCTAATTTTCTTTCCCCCTGGGCAGGCATCAGAATGCAAATTACTACACCATTTTCAAATACGTGCTGTTTGTTGGCTGCATCACATGATTCCATCCTGATGTGCTCATCTTCACAGATGTGGTGTTTATCCATCCATTATCTATACCGCTTAGTCCCGAAGGGGGTCCCAGGGGGCTGGGCGAGAGGCGGGGTATGGTGTTTAGTGAACCTGAAATATAGGCTACACATGCAACACATACATTTGTAAATTTTTATCATTTATTACAGTTAAAAAGATGTATGTACAGAATATCACCAAACTGGGTCATTTTCACTCATTTGTAAAGTAGCTCTCTGCAGTTAGCCAGTTTCAGAATAACTGTTTTACAATGGGGCGGCATTGACCAAGTTTGTCATTTACAACCAAGCACACAACTCAGAGATTTTTTTTTTTTCCTTTTTCATTTGCCAAATAAAACTTAGTAAAGGAATATAACCAAAATAAAACAATAGAATGATACTAAGCAAAACTGATTAATTGCTGGTCCAAATCTAAGTTCCTGCTGCCCACACACAGCTTTGTACAGGTAGAAACCCCTCAGACTGGTTCTCGGTCACTGTGGTTAGCAATGAAAGACTCACATAGAGGTAGTCACTTCTGCATCTGCTCGTCCAGTGAAGATTCAACTGACCCAAAACCTTTGCTTTCAGCATCTGTTCGATTCATGGACCCAGGTCCCTTCACTGACATTAACCAAAACTGGAAAAAAAACAATTATTTGTCTCTGTTGATGAAACCAGTAGATAATAAAGGTTTTGCTTAGTGCACACAAGGCAGTCAAGTAAATGTATGGAGATAGTACAGAGGGGGTGTGAGTGGGTTTCAGGCAGGTACGCAGTGAGAAGGAGCAGGCGGAGTCACGTTAAAAGGCTATTCCACCAAAACTGGCTTGGTTTAACCAGAAAAAAGTGGACATGCATGTATTTATTTATTCTGAAGAACATGTGATCCTATCCTATCATATGAAACTAAACTAAGAAAACTGAGTCATGTCTGCTTTTAATACAGCATTTATTTCTTGTTCCAGATGCTTAATATGGGTGTGGTAAAAAGAATTAAACATCCTTTAATGTTAAAAATCCATTTCTACATTTTCACACTACTGTATTTAAACTCATGACTGAAAACTTCTGGAAATAATTATAATAAAACAAAAGCTTTTCTATTGAGAGATAACTGCTAAATAATAAAAATCAATAAAAGTCAGTTTTGGTGGGATTCCCCTTTAATGCCAAAGACAAACTAAGATGCAAGCGAATGCACATCCACTTTGCAGCATAATGGCATTATCTTCAATTGCACTCGGCCTTTCTGTAAAACCTTCATCACATTAGATGTTGTAATACTGAGTCTACCATAACGCCAGATCACTGCGCAAAATAAAAGGAAAAGTAAGACAAAGAAACTAGAGCCAAATTTACATCGTAATAACCAGATGCTTCTCATTAGGTACAGTCAGTGGCCAGAGACACAAGGAACAGCCAAACAAAGGACTCTTAAAGACCGTTAAGGCTGCTTGTCAATGTAGATTAAGTAGGATAGGCATTGCCCCACAATGCTTAGATACCCTTTGCAATATACAAAAAGGAGCATTTGCAGACACACCAGTAGTCACTAAATCAAAGTCCTCTATGCAGAAATGCTGGTTCTGACCCAGACAAATATGTGTTCAATACGTTTGTTACCTGTATAAAATGTCCAGGCAAGAAAAAGACCAGCTGCATGACCCCAGGAAAAAAAAATAACAAAATAAAAGGACTTTGATTGTGCGATGGCCTAAATTCACACACAATACAAAGATAAACCCCAATTATACTCCCAGTTATTTTGGATGCACCAGTATGCAATCATCACTTTTAATCCAACCACAGGTTTTAACCGATACAGGCCAGTCGGTGATATCTCCACCTCTTCCTCCACAGCACTTTACAACTACATTCCAGGGTGTGATAAATGCTCTCTGGCTGATTAGCCCTCCAGTCATCCTCGGCATCTTCCACTACATTGGCCTTCTCAGCCTGGCAGAATGGCACGTGAACAAACTGAAAACAGAGAGACTGAATGTAAAAATGGGTCACAGCACTCTTGCTGCATACCTAATGCACATCTCACCTTCGAGTACTTGTTAAAGGCATTTTTCACACAACAGTTTACAGCTAAAAGTAAAAACACATAATAGAAACTTCCAAAGCTTTTATATAAAATGAAGGAATGCAATGCCTCTGGTGGGTTGTTGAACATGAACACAGAAAGCCCTTTGTACACTTTTTTTGTCTTTTTCTGACAGTCTTGTACTGTAACTGCGATAAGCTCAAATATGCACCTTGTGTTTTCTCATCGTTGTGTCCAAACAATCTGATCAGTAAGAAAACGCCCGGACCTGACGCCAAACCAAAAAAGGTCAGTGGATTTGTCCCTCGTCAGGTTTTTCGGGTGAAGTCTGTATCGGTGTTGGGAGCGGACCATTTCCCGCCTTCCCGCCGTTGTCTTGTACAGCATATGTTTAAGTCCACGAAAAGCAGCAACAGGTTTTGCTGGTAAATTAGAAGCAGCGGCATATTGTTTCCCCGCAAACCTGTCCCAAGATGAGCTGTGGAGGAGACAGACCACAGCCCACGCAAAACACGCCAAGCTGCTGCTGCAAAACATAAAAAAGTAGACCCACACATTTCAATATAAAATAGAATCATGATTGGATATAAAGTTGGGATGAAACATTAAAAAGAAAAAGGGGGGTGGGGGGTGGTTTTATTACCTGTTGTTGGGATTTTTAATGTACAATCACTTGAAATAATACTAACTGAATATACAGTTCATCATTAGAAAAAAGGAAACAACATAAATCTATTTAAAATAAGACAATGCTGATCTGAACTGCAGTGAGCTGTTTCTCTTGCAATGGAGACAAGCAGGATATGAGTTATTTTACACCATTGCACAGCTACACAGACCCTTTTATAGATCGGGAGAGCAAGTTCCTTTAAGATTGATAGGATAAAACTTCCCCAGAGAAAGTTAGTAGTACATCATGAGCCTGTGAAACCCAACATTTATATGTGAGTGATACAAATCTACATGACAAACTGATTACCAGATAAAATCCTTACTTATGAAACAAAATGCCCCCACTCAAAATAACCAATGAGAGGCTACGGTGTTTTTGTCTTAATATAGAAGATGCCAAAGTCTTTAACAAAGTGCACAAGAGCAGCAGCATTGCTGGGACAGTGTGGGACAAAAAAAACAACAAAACAAAACAAAGAAAACATTAAATTAGAAATCAAAAACACCGGACGATTCTTAGGAGACCCCGTCTAAAGAAACTACAAAAAAAGGAGAATATTAAAAAAAAGAATGTGTCAAGGAGTTACCTGTCAAAATTTTATTATCAAACGTTTTGCTCTCATACACTCACCACTTGCTCCAGAGACCCAGACGATGTCTTTTAAAAACGCTTGATATGTTGGTCAGAGATCAACTGGATGACAGCTATGCAGTCCAACACTGTAGATACAAATCAAACAATGCAACTAAAAATTGCATCCAAGGCGACAACCAGGATTTGTATACATATATAAAAACCTATCATGTATCCCATCACCTATGTACGTTTGACTTTTTCCCACTACCTTTTTGTCACACAGAAGCAAACAGGGGTCGCGGCACTGCCCGTTCTGGAGAAGAGTCCAACTTGCATCTCCCCCCCCCCCCCAACAACTATGATCATATGTATACATTACTAGCTTAATTGTTGGACAACTACTGCTGCTATTTGTTAAGATCTCCAATCACCATATTTTACAACTGATATCACTCACCTTAGATTAATGCAACAGCAAAAAAGGGAAAAAATAAAGTAACAGCAGAAAAAAAAAAAAAAAAGAAAAAAAAAAAAAAAGAAAAACAATTTATCTTTGTATTCGCATGGACAGTTGTGTTTAGAAATGAACCACTGGGTCACTCTAAACATAGGCACAGTTTTTAAAACCTCAAAAAAATAAAAATAAAAAATACAAAAAAAGAAATAACACGTCATTATTAGACCTTTGTTCTCCATAATCAAGAAGCAATTTAACATAAGTTATCTTCAGGATGATGATGTTAAAAAAAGGGGGATACCAAAAGAAAATACAACAAGATGACAGTTAAAATTACGGCAGCAGCAGTAAATATGTTCAAAAGTTCAAAAGACTTTTTTTTTGTTTTTGCATACAATTGTATCTTTGCTCACATAGTAGATGCTTGTAATTACTGTAAATACATTGGCAATGGGAGCACAGTTTATATGGTTAAAAGACTTGCCACATAGCTCACAGTTTATCAATATATATAAATTTATATATCTTCAGTTTTGGCAAAGAGGTGGAAATATTTTCCTCTGATATCATTCGGAATGACAGATGAGCATGGGGTGGCCAGGTCCTAAAATGGCCGTGATAAACTCTGGTGTAACACGGAAGACAAGCCTCCGAAGGTTCGCCTCGTTTCTGCCCGAGGATGGTGAAAGAAACATCTTCCTCTTCTTATTTGCCCCCGACACTGATTGTGGCCAGTCTGTTTCTTTACAGTGTATGATACACATAATGGGGGTGGGCAGGTGAGAGGGTGCAGAGCAAGTGGAGGATTTGGAGTTCGATGGAACTGAGACTGAACTGCTCTTGGTTCAGACCATGGCACGGTATGGTCCCTGCATCTTGAGAAACTGGATGATGAAGGAGGGGCCTCCTGCGACAATCTGGGGCGGCAGGTGGCTGAGAGGACAGTTCTCAATGCTCATGATGGACAATTTGCTGCAGAGTGCCAGCTCGAATGGTAGGCTGTGTAGATTGGGGTTGTCGTTGAGGTATAGTTCCTCCAGGTTCTCCAGTGTACCTGAGGACAGACAGCAGTTAGTGAGTTAAGGCTCATACTGTACTGAAGCTGTCATCCAGGGAAATGGCTGGAAATACACACAGCCTCCAAGCAAAACACAGACATAAAAAATTGATTTTCAGGAATAAAAAAAAATTCTTGGTGCAATCAGTAAACTACATTTTGCTGCAATTCAATGACTGAACACAAGCTTTGAGGAAGTTACAATACATAATGAAATTGTAATATATCTTAATGCATGGAGGCGGTATTATTCCTCCCACAGTCCATGTAAGGTAGTTAACTGGAGACTCTAAATTGCCCGTAGGTGTGAACATGAGTATGAGTCTGTCTGTATGTGTCAGCCCTGTGATAGACTGGCGATCTGTCCAGGGTGTACCCTGCCTCTTGCCCAGTGTCAGCTGAAAGTGACTCCAGTCTGTCTGCAACTCTCTATAAAGGAAAAGCAGTGTGGACGACGGATGGATGGACTGTTAGTTTGTGATTAATTTCATGTTTACAGACTCATCACTTGAGCTCTAATTGGCTAAAAAACAGTACTTAATTCAACTTCAGCCATTTGTAAGGTTGTATGGATGAGATATCAAAACTAAACACCACCACCAAACAAGGGGAATCATTATTGCCCCTGAAGAGATGATGAGGAGACCAACATGGTCTTCATCCAGTCTCGGATACATCCAAGACTGTCAGCAAGGCTAACAACTTAAAAAGTTTGTGACAATGTTCATATAGACATACTAAAAAATATATTGAGAGGTAGTGTTTGCTAAAGAGAACTTTAAAACCTCCACGCCACAGGTACTATAATTTAACTGCAGGCCAAATCTGAATACTTAAAAAAATACAGCCACCTTTGCTGTTTCTGTCTGGTTTAACTGTTAACCTCAGCCATAACCAGCCTTGTCGGTCCAATCACAGGAAGGGTCAGAGCACACTACTGAGTGTTAGGTTCGTCCTCATGGTTAAATTGAGCTTTTATTGGGAAGCACTGGTACAACAAAAGTATTTTTACTGAAACTGCAAAATGAGAACTTTCAAAAAGGCGGCACCAACCCCAAATTCTGCTGAAAGCACAATTAAAAACCATCGCCTGAACATTTGAGATTAGCTAAAATGTGTCCTTTAACAAAAGACTAATGTGTTTACACAAATGTGCTTTAAAAACAAAAGTGTTCAAAGGAGACAGAGAGCTATGCCAACACCCAAAAAGATTATAGAACATTCTGTGATCCCTGTGTTCCTGTCAGTCATAAGATACATTTACATAACTGTGAAAAAGGGACTGAGGTTGCTTTTGTATTACGTTATAGTTTTGTATCACATGTACATTGTCAGTTTGATCATTTTTTTATAAAGTAGTTTGAACTACTTTTTCTTTAGTTTACCAAAATACTAGGGCTAAATGTTAACATAAGGAGTTAACACAAATTCCTCTTAATGCCACTGATATTTTTTGATACACGATTATCACACGCACATTCTGCGGTTATGACGCACGGCCCGCCCCGTAGTTTGGGAAATCAGGAAGCAATGCAGCAGCAGAAATTAGCAGAAATGTATAAAAAAGGGTCTTTTGAAAGCCAAGTTCAGCTTCAATGTCCTGCCAGGTGGTTCTCTCGATAAGACCACAGTTATATGCATTTACTGTTGATATGAACCGAGTTACCACTGGAGTACATGGAGTCTCAAACACCACTTGCTGGTATGGACTTCCTTCAGTAATCAGTTACCTCAGGGTAACATTTAGAACCAGTGGTGGAAGAAGTACTCAGATCCTTTACAGGTATGTGCCAAAAAATCCATTTATTTCAATAATTTGTTTCAAAAAGTGAAACTTGTATGTTATATTAGTTCACTGCACACAAAGTGAAATATTTCAAGCCTTTATTTGTTTCAATTTTGATGATTATGGATTAAAGACAAAAAAAAAAATCAAATCCAGTATTTCACAAAATTAGAATATCATGACAAAGTTCAACATTGTAGGCTCCCTGTGTCCCAATCTAGTCAGCTAATTAATGCAAAACACCTGCAAAGGTGCCTTGAAATAGTCTCAGTCTGGCTTAGTAGGCTTCAGAATCATGGGGAAGACTGCTGACTTGATGGTTGTGCAGACGACCATCACTGACACCCTCCATAAGGAGGAAAAGTCTCAAAAGGCAATTGCAAAAGAAGCTGGATGCTCACAGAGCGCAGTATCAAAGTATATTAACAGAGTGTTAAGAAGAAGGGAAGAATGTGGCCGGAAAAGGTGCAAAAGTGACAGGGATGACCGCAGCCTTGAGAGGATTGTCAAGCAAGGGCGATTCAGAAATCTGGGGGAGCTTCATAAGGAGTGGACTGAGGCTGGTGTCAGTGCATCAAGAACCACCACATACAGACGTCTGCATGACATGGGCTACAGCTGTAGAATCAAACAGAATTAAATAAACTACACGGAGGCAGTCGTCTGCTATGTGTGCATCAATCCCTTCTCTTGGCTCGACAGCGCGAACTGAGAGCTGCACAGTGATGACGTACTAAAACGCGTCTCAGAAATGTCTTAAAGAGACAGTACCCATTTTCCACTACAGTATATCAACTCTGTTTAAACAATTAATACAGATTAATCGGGATTTGGTGTGGTTTCAATCGAACAGTTACAAGACGTTACTGTGGTTTCTTTTACATTGGTTACACTTGCATTTTGTGCTGTTAGTATGCCATCTTAAATAATCCAAATAATTGAATCACTTACAACATCATACAATTCACACATTGGCATCCTCCTCTTCATTAGATGAGGGAACACAGACCCTGAAATGTG